TGGATTCATTCACCTCTAACATGCTTCTATTGCATGTAGTTCAGTTCTTCATAACCTTTAACGTCTCATTTTTCAAATTTTATTTCACTCATTATCAAATGCTGATACTGTTGCATTCACAGTTGTTTCGCACAAAGTGTTCAGATGCTTTCTGTTCTTAAGCTGAATGAATTTCTGAACACGTATGACTCTACGAAACGTCTACGGAGCCAGTTGTTCATTTCACAAGGTTTACTCCAAAACAGAGAACAATTTCGTAAATGTTTCGTACACGAAGAAAAAGCATATAGCATGTTCAAAAGTTTGCTGAAACATGATTGGGTTATGAATTGATAGCCGCCAGTGATGATGGACTATGAATTTCAGAATGCACAGATGCAAAATGACGCAGAAGGGGCATCAACATCGTTCGCTGTTGGCGAACAAGTTGAGGGGTTGTGCTACGAAGAGGGTGTCACTACGAACAATCCAGATACTGCGAAAAACCCAAAGCCAACCGGCAACGATTGCGCCCAGAAAGCAAATAACTCAAGTGATAAAAGTGAACGGCTAAAAAACGAAAAGAATAAACAAAATTCAGGTGATCGTTTGATAGGCTGCATAAGAGCTCGACGATTAACTGGTGAAATTTTGAGGAAAAGCGAAATTACCTTGCAATTAGTTCAACCCGGAAATGAACATGAATCCAGATGAATTTCTATGAATCGATCATATGTCAAATTTAACAGTTGCTTTCATCTAACTTCGAATCATTGTCGTATCAATAACTAACAAAGAGATCAAAAAGAAATATGAGATAAACAGTTGGTTAGTTGATCGAAAAGTTCATGGAACTGCAAAGGTTGAAATATAAATGTGCAACTTAAAAAAGAAATGAACCTGAGGAATGGATCACGATTAAAGTTTATATTAGATCAGAGCATTTTGGTCAAATTTGTGCTCAAATATAGAAACTGGTTTATTTTTAGGACCCATTCGAGGTGATACAAATCTTCAAAATTCATCTGGAAGTGAGACAAAAGATAGCGATAATGATGATGATTCAATGGGTAATGCTTTTCTCGAACACAGCGAATCACTCCTTGCCCACAACAACTGTGATTTTCTTAAAAATTAACTGCAAAATTCAGTGCTCCTCCTCGGAATAGTCAACATTGAGTTTTCATAAAATCGATGCCTCCCTCGTGATGATAAGTGGGAATAGCAGTCAAATTTTCAGAGTTTTAATTCAGTTCAATGACTTTCCAACAACTGGATATCACTCCAGTGAATCTTCATCCATTTTCAATGACTTTCTGCCAGAAGCACCATTGATATCGTATTTACAGATTCAGAACAAGTTACCACCGAAGATTCTTCGTCGCCAGCAAATTCACCGTCATCCAAACTGGAGCAAAATAACAACGTAAGTTTAGTTTTGTTTCAAACTCGTTAATGTACTTGAATCTGAAGATTCGTTTTGAGTGAAAGTTTGATCCTTGAATGGCTTCCAGGTGAGCACGAATGATAACGACGAAATATTCTCGATGATAAGAGCACGTGTGGAAAGTAAACCGAAACGTAAAAGACTTCAGTATATACGTAAACTCAAACGACAACTCAACTACTTTATTGAAATGCAAGAGGTTCGTGAGCTGTCCGCACGTTTACCAGACAATGTCAAATTCAACGATATATTCCACAATTAAAAAATTCTTATTTGCAAAATTGTGATCTTTCCGTATTATTGATAAGTGTTGATTGCTTTATTGTAAACACAAACTTTGTTGTATATTTGTCAGTGTTATTTCGATGTATGTTTCCTCGTTGTCTTGTATGTATAAAATCATTTCTTTGACAGCATCTTATCACTTCATCAATTCGATATCAAACAACACAATCATTAAAAATGCAATAATTTNAGCATCTTATCACTTCATCAATTCGATATCAAACAACACAATCATTAAAAATGCAATAATTTGCAATAACGCAGTAACCACATCCAATGCATCCTGCTGGTCCAGATCTGACAGTGAGGGTAGAGCGTGGCAGATTTTACATATGTGAAGACATCTTTCTCTATCAGAATTTTTCTAACTGGAACATATGGAATCAGGTCTACGGAAACTTCAGAAAAATGGCTTCATTCATGAGATCTAATTGTAAATGTTGTGTGGTGATCTTTTACTACAATATATTGTTGTATGACGTTTCATCATGATTCGGAACTGTTGTCTAAACTTCTAAAATTCATTGAATTTATAAGAACATGCTTTACGAAGTCCTACTATCATAACGTGCTAATCAAGCTTCTTCCGAGCTCCAAAAAGGAACCAAAGCATTTGGTCATTCGTTCATCATTGAGAAATATTCCTATTGCTAATTGGCGAAACGTTAGATGGTGCATTTGGCAGCGCGTTTAAATTTGCTTAATTCATGTGTAGAACGGGAGTTATGTAGCATTTTGAGAGGTCTGAAAGGATACGTTATGATAATGATAATCCATTAAGAACGATGCATCGTATGAAGGCGAAACTATCTCAAAATGGTATTGTGCGTACAAATCCAATGGTACTCATTGATNGAGGACGACAGCGAGTTCATTCCGAACACCTCGACATCTGTCAATAGCATAAAATCAAGCGGTCATTTTTACTTTCGATCAGCTCTATCTATTGAACCATGTTTCGTTATTGCATCGTTATTTTCAATCCTTAACACGTTCCGTTATTCTACTGATGGAAACCTATGAAACTGTAACGATATGTGCGAAATTTTCATGAAGCAAGCCTTCAGCTCGATCTGAAAAAGGTGAAGTAGTTGAACAATTGAGGATAAATGAAATTAGCAAACAGTGAAGAATGTAAGCATCTGTGTAGAGCAAATGAAATTCTGTAACATAATTGATGAAGCCAACGAAATGAAAACGTTTAAACTCGCAAGCTGAACTAATTGAACTAACAAGAAATTTGCCGATATACGCTAAAATTGATAAGTAGTTCGTTTGATGATATGGTTAGATTTAAAAGGTTTCATCTGAAATCATTTGAAGTGAACGAGTAAATGATCGTTGGAAATTAAAGGTGAACGCGGTACAATGCCAGCAACGATACCACTCAACACCCGATTACAGTCTCCTCCTCGTTGTACCGTATGCCGACGACTTCAAGATGCTAATGTACGTCTATTCAGATGGCCACGTGATATCAAAATGCGCCGAAAGTGGTTGGCGATTCACAGAAACTGTTTGAGAATGTGTTGACTGCTGTTTGAATCTGTGAATATTTGCACTCATCACCGATCATGTGATGATCTACTATCGGAATTTTTTTGCCTTCCTTCTCGAAATGAAAACCACGAAACATCCCTTGAGTGATTCTTTCTTTTGCGTTTTGATTCAACTCGGCTCAATGCTGACTTCAGGTGTGCATTTTTCGATATCGATGAAACCGAAGTGGCGTTGAATTTGGACCACAGTTATATTTGTTCATGGCATTTTGATCCTGACCAGTTCCTGTATTCGGACCAGAAAATTTTCTGGGCACCAGATATTTGTCCACGCCACAAGGTTGCCTCATCTATCCATCAATTTGATCATTTCGTTGTTTTCTCGTTTCGATATTGACCAGTCTTGTGGCTTGAGAACAATGTGTTTGGTATAAAATATTCAAATTGCCTTTTTGATTGATAGATTTTCAGCATATCATTTGTGAAGTTTTCTTTGCTGAAAAAATTAACGTTTGTGTATTTTTCTGCAGTCGAGAGATTCAATCATTATCAAAATGAATTGTTGAAGATAAGAAAACCGGCCAATTACGAGCCATTTCCATGGGAGATATCTGCAAATGTCAGTGTTTGGACGAACGGCGGTAACGGTTTGCCAGTTGATTTGGATAGCAGAATAAGGAAACGACCGCGACATCCACCACCGAAATGTGCAGAAATTTTCTTCCGACAGAGCAAATATCGTATTGCGGTATGTGGTGGATTGCTTAATTGATTGATTCGTTGCTATCTATTCGTGGAGTTGCGATTGAGTCGCGGATTAACCTCGAGTTTATTTTCATCAC